TGACATATAAACACCACTGACCTCACCAACGGATCTTTGATAATCGACTAAGGAGGGGGGCGAGTAGAAGGAAGTTTAAATTGTATCATACTAAAATAGAATAAATGAAAAAATGTTGCTAAAAACCTAGACAGTATTAGTTTAAAAACAATTAACTATTTTATAGCATAAAGGGAAAATTATTGCTTAAGACCTTGAACGTGTTAGTTTCAAGATAAATAACTATTTTATTAGGAGGGTGAGATTCGATTAATAGTACTTTATATATTTTTAATGGAGGGAATACAATTTCATAATATGTGAATAAAATCTTGAAATAAATTAATTTAAATTAAACAAAAACAAAGAAATAATATATCAATAATGGAATAAACTTGACCTGAACTTACATATTAAACATAATTAGTAGAAAACCCCAACCATTAATCTTTCTCCCTCTATAGTTTCAATTGCGGTCACACTAATTCATGACCTCAATTATGTTATTTGGATCCTGTTTGTTTCATCTTATTTTATGAAAAAAATTAATTTTTTTAAAAAATCTATTTTATGAGTTTTTATGATATTTCTTTAAACTTTTGAATATAATTAGAATCTGAAAAAACATATTTTAAATTATTTTAAGTAAAATAATTTAATACAGTAGATAAGAGACTGTTTCAATACAATAAAATTTTAAAATAATAAATAATAAATTATTTTTATAATAAAATCAAGATATCATAAAATTTAAAAATAACTATTTAATAATCACTTTTTAATGTTGTAACTAAACATAAAATAATATCTTCTTTTTATAAAGCCTCTAAATTAATTTCTTTTATAAAATCTCTAAACTATTAAAAATTATTTATTTTTTAATCCTAAACAAACAGGCTAGTCTTCCCCTTTATCATAGAGTTATTCTTCTTGTTTTTTTTTTTTTTGTTTAAGGTGAAAGGTTATTTTTACTCTTTGATACTGCTTGACTGACAAAAGAAAATGGAGATGAGGGTAAATGAGGGGAGAGAAAAGTGAAGCCATGTGATTTTCTCTCAAGCTTGGTTGACCAAGAAAAAACAGGGAATATGAATTTTTAATTTTATATGAACAATAATAATCTCATTATTCATATAAAAATATTTAGATATAGTAAAACATAAAAATTTAACATATTATTCATATAATTTTCATTATATATCGCTAATGGAATGCAACTATAATTGTAAATTATTTTATCTAATTTTAAATGTTATTTATAAGATCATATAATATACAGTAATCTGAAAATAGTTTTAAACTATAACCAAATTTAAGGATAAAAATGGTGAGAGGTAGGGAGCCGGCGAAAAAAACATACATGAGTAAATTTAGAATTAAAGTTTTCTCTCCAAACTATCCCTATTTTTGGAGAGATAAGTTTGAGTGAAAAACATGTGAGTGCCACTTTTTCAAATTCACTGAATTTTATCTTCTTTGTCAATTTTCATTACTAGAAAAATAATTTTTAACATCATTAATTTATGTTGGTTTTATAAAAAATAGAAGTAAAAAAAAGTGGTGGTAATTTCATAATTTTTTGAAAGAGTTTTTACATTAGTTCTTTAAAAAACTGATGTAAAAAAGGTTTTCCATGTCTGTTATAAAAAAAAAAACTGACGTGGAAAACTTGTTTTTTCAAAAAATAAAAAATTTGCTTCTTTTTCCACGTCAGTTTAAAATAACTGACGTGGTATCTCATTTTAAATTTTGATAAGTCACAAACACGACTCTTCATATCTATCTTTGCTTAGCTTTTTTTCAAATCCATGATGCAACTCTTCTCTCATCTCTTTTCTTCATTTTTCACTTAAAGCTTCCACCATTCTACTCCCTCCGCCATCTGAGGTGACATCAGTCACTGTTTAGTAGCCGTCATTGGCCTTGCTATCATCGTTGCCAATGGGTTCCATAGGTATGCATATTTCATTTCTATTCCATTTTTATAGAATTGAAAAGTAAACATTTCTCCTCCATCTTCATATTTTCCTTTCATTCAAAGTACTTTTCCATTCCTTTCTACTTTCTTGGTCATGGATGGTGCGTGGGTTGTCATAGGTGGTATGCTAGTGGTTGTCAGTGCATGGGTCTTCCACTTGTGATCTCCTCCTTGCTATTTCAATTTATGAGTGTGGGTGTTGCTCATCTTTCTTCTTTCTCTTCCATTAGAGAGATTTTACTAGCTCTTCTATTGTAAGTCTTTATTTTATTTATTTTTATTGCCTATTGGTATTGTGATTGGTTGATTTAATTGAATATTTGTAGTTAGTGGTATTTTAATAGATGAATTTATGCCTTTAAAATTTATTTTAATAATATTAAATTTTACTTCATAATAGTTGATTTAATTGAATATTTTTATATTTAAGTGTTTAGATTGTTGGATTGATTTAGCTAACATTGTTATTGATCTTGGATTAATTATATAGTTTTTAGTACTTTGAACAAATATGTGTGGCGTTTGTATATGAATTAAAATATTAGTATATGAAAAAAAATATCATATTAGTTCATTTTATAAATATGTAGTGTAATTATAACTTGTTGTATAATCATTGTAATTTTGCTAAATGGTTGTTTATACTTGTTGTATAATCTATGCAATTTACAGGTTTTAAGTTTGGATGTATAAAAACAAACAATTTTTTTTAAAAAAAATTGAACTTTTAACAATGATTATCTACAGATAATCTTTTACAACAGTTTTTTCTATAACTGTTGTGAAAGGGTTATTTTTTTTTTATTTTTCTAAATACTTTATGTTTAGTGATATAATAAAACTAATGTGAAAATTTTTCTACACCAGTTTATAACTAACATGGAAAGTCAACTTTTCCCTTCCTTCTTTTTACTTCCTCCTATAACCAAAGTAAAAAGTCTAAAATAATTGTTGTAGTAAAAAGTCTTTCTTGCATTTGCATAGCTAGCCGTTTCTAGAACTTCAATAAATGGAATGTGAACAAGCAATGCTTCAACATATCCAAAAATTAGGCATATTTGCTCACCCAACGTCTTCTTAACAATCCTTTGTGGAGTGGAAAAGGGTATGAAGGCACAAATTGAGGTATGGGAGTGACACTACTGTCGAACAGCACCAAAATTAATAAAAACTAGATTTTGCAGTAAAGTGCAACCTAGGTCGTCTCCCTAAGAGTCAATAGAGTAACTATTTAAATTATGATTATGAAAAGGTAAATAATGGGGGGGTTTTTTATGATGAAATTAAAAACTAAATTATAAATAAATAAATAGAGGAAATTCAATTAAGAAAATTACCGACAACAAGCAGCGCAATCAATCACAACCCAATCACCTAAATTTAACCTTCCTCGTCTACAAAAAAATTAATTTTATTCAACTTTATTATTCTGGTTTCATTATAATATTTCTCAAATTATCATTCAAGAATTAAACAAGAAGTTAAGTTATAGATTAATTGAAATCTCCTTTAACCCACAACCTAACAATTGTTTTATAGCCACACCAAAAACAAAGCATGGATAATCACCCAAGCCAAGCCAAATTACTCTTACAATGCTATATCAATCGATTATAGCAATTAAAACCTCAGATAAAATTTATAACTCAAAAATTATGCAATAAAGCTACTCTAATCAGTAATAGTAATTAAAGCATAAAATTTAGAGGTAGAGAGAAGAAGAGAAAATTGGAATAAAGCTAAAATAAAATCTTTCCTGAATATTAAAGACTCTGATTAAAATTTAGGATCATGGTTTGTGATTGATCACACCAAAAAAAAATTAGCTCTCCATAGAATTAAAAATCAAACAACATGAAATGAAAAATTGAGAAGCCATCACCCAAGAAATTGGAAGAAGGAAAGACGAATGGCGATCGCTGCTCTGTTTCCCTTCTTTCCTTTTTTTTTCCCAGATCGTGCTTCCTCTCCGTCCCCCATCTATTCATATATATATATATATATATGAAAAGTGGACCCTAATTAAAAATTACACTAAATAATCCAAAATAAATTCAAATAAAATTTTAAAGATTTGATTCTTGATTTGATCTCCAAGCATGCCCATATTCTTCTTATCCAAAATATTCTTCATCAATATCTTTCAAATTGAATCTAGAAAATCTGCACAAATAAAATAAAATTAAATAGCACCTGTGCAAAAATATTAAAGATATTATTTATATTTTAAAATCAAAGATTTAGTTAGTTAAAATTCCAAAACTGAATATTAGCTAATAAAATCAAATAATATCTAATTAAACTCAATTAGCCTTAAATAAATAATTAAAAGTCTAAATTAAAAGAATAAAAATATATAAAATTATCATTTATCAATTCCCCCACACTTAGACTTTTGCACTCCTGGGCAAAACTTAAATCTCAAATTTCAAGAAAAGAACTGTGGAAGCAACAAAGAATAAGAAATAATTATAGCTCTTCAACATTTTAACACTTTAATCAATATCTCTTATATTGAGAATAACAAGTATCATGGCAATTTCATTTGGTAAGAATAAATTAAGCAATAGCCCCTCACAAAGGTCAAGTGTTTAACTCTCAACTCTCAAATGTATATAGGTAAGTGTTTCACTCAAGTTCCCCTATTAAAACCTCACTACCATAGGCTTGTTTATCATCTAGGTCTCCACTATTTATGTCATATGCAATGTAAGAATCAATAGGACTTTAGTTTAGGTTGTAATGGGGCTTAGGTAAAGGTATGATATAGGAAAATGAAGGTTAATAAACTTTAGGATAATGAAAAGTATATTTGAAACGAAATATATAGAATGAAAGAAACAAAATAAATTGATTTGGGTTTATTTTTCTCTCTTTATTTTGTTTTCCTTTCCTTTGCTTCATGCACCTTTTTTTTTTTTGTTGTGTTATGACTTTTATGCTCTTTCTTTTCTTTTCTTTTCTTTTCTTCCTTTCTTTCTTTGCTTTTTTTTTCTCTCGTTTTTTTTTCAAAATAACCCAAATCTCTCTTCAAGCATATTCTTTCATTCCAACAAATATTATAATACACTTTTCATCACCTAAAGTGGGGTGAGAAGAATGAAAGGAAAATATTTTTATAGGTTATGTTTTCAATTGGCTAAAATTTTAAAGAAAAGGTTTAGGCTCAAAGGGGCTAACAAGGGATAAATTACATGGGATGGCTATTTGGCTAAGTAGGCTAAAAGAATGCCTAAATCATCTTCATGCAAAGCATATGCAATTATAGTCTCAACTAAGAATCAAGACAAGTTCTAGAGTGGGAGTAGTGATAGCAGAATACACACAAAAAGAGAATAATATTAGGCTCAAATCTTTACAAGCTAAAGGCTATCACATTAATTCATTGAAACCAAACTCATGCCACTTAACTTAAATTCTAAACATAAGATCAATTACTTATCATGCTCAAATGCATTCAAACTAAAATTGTCTTAAATTTGCAACTTCGCACAAATTATTTTTTTTTATTTTTTTATTTTGAAAACAAGAACACAAAAATAAAAAAAAATGAAAACAAGAAAAAAAATTAGAAACAGCAAAAAACCTCCCCCCACACTTAAAATCTACAATGTCCTCAATGTAGAACATAGTTCGAAAGATGTATAGGAAAATGTAAATTAAAAGTGAAGAGAAATGATACAACCTGATCGATTAAGTATTATCTTGGAGGGAAGACTCCTCCACAATGTGTGTCTCAAATCCATCATAAAAATGCTTTAACCGATGCCCGTTAACTTTAAACTTTGCTCCAGTAGATTCTGCCATAATCTCTACTCCACCATAAGAAAACACTTTAGTAACTATAAAAGGACCTTCCCATCTAGAACGAAGTTTTCCTGGCATAAGTTTCAATCTGGCATTATAGAGTAACACTTTTTGTCCCACCTTGAACTCTTTTCTAACTATCAGCTTATCATGTATTAACTTGGTCTTTTCCTTGTAGATTCTTGAATTTTCATATGCTTCCAAGCGAAATTCTTCAAGCTCTTGCAATTGATATTTTCTTTGGGCTCCTGCTTTAGTTAAATCCATATTGCACTGCTTTACTGCCCAATAAGCTTTATGCTCAATCTCCACAGGTAAGTGACAAGCTTTCCCAAAAACAAGCCGATAAGGAGACATTCCGATTGGAGTCTTGTAGGCAGTTCTGTATGCCCACAATGCATCATCAAGTCTCTTACTCCAGTCTTTCCTATTAGGTTGCACTGTTTTTTCAAGAATCTGCTTTATCTCTCGATTCGAGACTTCAGCTTGCCCATTAGTTTGGGGGTGATAAGGGGTAGCCATCTTATGCACGACCCCATACTTACCCAATAAACTCTGCATGCTCCGATTACGAAAATGGGTGCCTTGGTCACTGATAATGGCCTTTGGAATACCAAACCTGCAAAAGATATGTGATCTAACAAAATCTACAACAGCAATAGAGTCATCAGTTCTGGTGGCTTTAGCTTCCACCCACTTAGAAACATAATCCACAGCTAGTAAAATGTAAGCAAATCCAAATGAAACAGGAAAAGGTCCCATGAAATCAATACCCCATACATCAAATATTTCACAGAAAAGTAAAGGTTGTTGAGGCATCTCATTTCTACGGGAGATATTTCCTGTATGCTGACATCTAGCACAATGTTTACAAAATGTATATGCATCACGAAATAGAGTAGGCCAGTACAATCCAGAATCAAGAACCTTTCTAGCAGTGCGTTGTGGACCAAAGTGTCCTCCACAAGCAAGTGTGTGACAAAAATGCAATATGGATTCAAACTCAATGTCAGGAATACATCTCCTAATAATCTGGTCACTACATATGCGCCAAAGGTATGGATCATCCCATATGTAATATCTAGCTTCCCTCTTGAACTTATCTAATTGATGTTTCTTTAAATGCACAGGCAATGCAGAGGCAGCTAAGTAATTAACTAAGTCAGCATACCAAGGAGTAACATCATGCATAGCATATAAGCATTCATCAGGAAAATTATCATCAATAGGAATAGAAGGAACCATAGGAGATTCAATGCGACTCAAATGGTCTGCGACAAAATTCTCAGCTCCACTCTTATCCTTTATCTCTAAGTTAAACTCCTGTAGCAAGAGCATCCATCTGACTAATCGTGGCTTTGCATTTGGCTTCCTTAAGAGATACTTTAATGCTGCATGATCAGAAAACACAACAACTTTTGCATTCAAAAGATATGATCTAAACTTATCTAATGCAAAAACAATAGCTAAAAGCTCCTTTTCAGTGGTAGTATAATTGGCTTGGGCTGCATCTAAAGTTCTGGAAGCATAAGCTATGACATGTGATTTCTTATCAACTTTTTGTGAAAGTACTGCGCCAAGAGCATAATTAGAAGCATCACATAATAATTCAAAAGGTAAATCCCAATTTGGCGGTTGAATGATTGGTGGAGTGGTCAATCTCTTCTTTAACTCATCAAATGCTTGCTCACAAGCTTTATCAAATTTGAAATCCACATCTTTCTGCAGCAATCTTGAGAGTGGTAAGGCTATCTTGCTAAAATCCTGTATAAACCTCCTGTAAAATCCTGCATGTCCAAGGAAAGAACGGACCTCTCTAACACTAGTAGGATAAGGTAAAGAAGTAATCACATCTACCTTAGCCTTATCAACTTCTATCCCCCTCTCAGAAACAACATGACCCAATACAATACCTTGTCTAACCATGAAATGACACTTTTCAAAGTTTAATACAAGATTTTTCTCAATACATCGCTCAAGTACTTTATCTAAATTTACTAGACACTCATCAAATGAATCTCCATATACAGTAAAATCATCCATAAAAACCTCTATGCAATAGTCTAGCAAATCTGCAAAAATACTCATCATGCATCTCTGGAATGTGGCTGGGGCATTGCATAATCCAAATGGCATCCTCCTATAAGCAAATGTGCCAAATGGACATGTGAATGTTGTCTTCTCTTGGTCCTCTGGAGCTATGCAAATCTGAAAATAACCTGAAAAACCATCTAGAAAACAGTAGTGAGATTTGCCTGCTAATTTCTCTAGCATTTGATCAATAAAAGGTAAAGGGAAGTGATCCTTCCTGGTTGCATTATTTAGCTTCCTGTAGTCGATGCACATCCTCCAGCTATTTTGCACTCTCATAGGAATCAACTCGTTCTTTTCATTCTTTACAACTGTGATCCCGCTCTTCTTTGGCACTACCTGTACTGGACTCACCCACTGGCTATCAGAAATAGGGTAAATGATACCTGCAGAAAGAAGTTTTGTTACCTCCTTTTTGACCACATCAATGATAAGTGGGTTAAGCCTCCTTTGAGGTTGCCTACATGGCTTTGCACCGTCTTCCATTAAGATCCTATGCATGCATATATCTGGACTGATGCCTGGAATGTCAGCTAGTGTCCATCCTATAGCTTTCTTGTGCTTTCTCAGTACCTCTAACAATTTTACCTCTTGGCAAGGATCAGAATCCTTTGCTATAATAATCGGTAATTTCTTACCTTCATCTAAGAATGCATATTTCAAATGTTCTGGTAGATCTTTCAATTCAAGTATAGGTGGCTGCTGAATAGAGGGAACTAGCTTATCGATAGTTAGCTCATCAACTCCACAAACCTGCATTCCATCAAAAGAAGCAGCAGTATCTTGTTCTAGAATACTAGAATTATCATTATTAATAGAATTACATGACATAGAGTTGATAGCAAAGTCTATAGTTCTTTCAGAGTCAGAAGCAATCATATCAGAGTCACTAGAAGTTTCAATGCCAATATCATGCATGGATTTGAATAACTCAACAATATCATCAGAACCAGAACAGTCAGAAGAATCTTCATAAATAATAGAGTCAGAACAATGTGTATTGCTATCTAAATCAACAATCTCAAGAGAACTAGAAACCATCTCATTGTAAAGCTCATCATATGTATCATCAATTAACATATCAAGCATGCTCACATTAATAACAGAATGATCCTCTATAGGATGTTTCATAGCCTCTAAAAGATTAAATTGAACAACACGTCCTGCAAATTCCATGGAAAGAGTACTATCTTTAACATTAATGATAGTATTAGCTGTCTTAAGAAATGGCCTACCCAAAATCAGTGGTGGTGGCCCATGACTATCATTTTTACCCATATCCAAAATATAAAAATCAGCAGGAAAGACTAAATCTTTTACCTTAACTAGAATGTCTTCAAGCATACCACTAGGATAGGCAAGTCTCCTGTCTGCTAATTGGACAATAATCCCGGCTGGCTTCATCTCACAACCCTGCAAAGAAGAAAATAGAGACTTGGGCATAACATTTATCGCTGCACCAAGATCAATCAAAGCGTTAGAAAATTCTAAATTTCCTATAGTACAGGGTATAGTGAAACTCCCTGGATCTTTGCATTTTAAGGGCATAGGGGGTTGGCACTGCATTCCTTCATGAAATAAAGCTGATACACTTCTTCCTAGATTGACCTTCTCGTTAGCTTTGAATCTTCTCTTGTTCGTGCATAGGTCTTTCAAGAACTTTGCATATTTAGGAATTTGCTTTACTGCCTCCAAAAGGGGAATATTGACTTCAACCTTCTTGAAAACATCAAGCACTTCTTTCTCCAATTCAGCTTCCTTTAACTTCTTGCTTTGAGTCTCCCTATTTGGAAATGGAAGGATCTTCCTTGGTTCCTTTTCTTCATTAGCCTCCTCAAGTGTGACTTGTGTTGCTGCAGCCGACTTATTCTTGATAGATGTTGTGGAGGGCTCTGGAAGCTCCTTTCCACTTCTAAGAGTGATAGCACTAACATTACTACAATTAGGATTTACAACTGTTTGAGAAGGCAACTTTCCAGAACCTTGACTCTTCAATTCATTAACGGAGGTGGACAACTGCCCAATTTGATTCTCCAATTTTTGGATTACTGTCTCAGTGCGTTGTTGAAATTGAATGTTATTAGTTGCCATTTGCTTCATTAACTCTTCTAGACTTGGTCCATCATTTTTAGACCCTGAAATAGGAGTAGATTGCCTCATTGGTTGCATAGGCTGTGAATTTTGACCTGTAGCATTATATTGTTGTTGTTGGCTTCCTCCATATCTGAAATTAGGGTGATCTCTCCACCCTGGATTATAAGTGTTAGAGAAAGGATCATATTTTTGGCCCTGTTGCATAGATCTAGTTGGAAAAATCCCAGCACAATTCTCAACTCTATCATCCAACTGTGGGCATTGATCAGTAGTGTGTGTGGCTAAAAAACAGATGCCACATAGAGGCCCAACTAAGGCAGAAGATGTGGTAGCTTGCTGAGGATTATAAAATTGAGGTTGTGCACACGTCTGTGAGGGATACGCCTGTGGAAAAGTTGGCACTGCTGGTGAATTCATTAATTTTTGTTGTGTTAAGGCAATGTGCCGAACCATGCTAGAGAGCTCCTCCATCTTGTTCTCAAATTTAGGATCATATTGTGGTGTTGGAATCTCATTCACCCCCTTAACTGCTTGGTTAGCTCGTGTCCCAAATTGTTGAGAATTTTGTGCCATCTTAGAAATGAGATTCATGGCATCAGTTGGAGTAAGTTCTACCAAAGCACCACCAGCTGCGGCATCAACAAACCACCTATCTGTTGGTAAGAGACCTTCATAAAAATGTTGAACCAGCTGCTGATCAGGTATTTGATGGTGAGGGCAGCTGGCACATAATTTCTTAAATCTCTCCCAATATTCATGAAATGTCTCCCCAGTCATCTGACGAATCCCACAAATATCCTTTTTAATTGCAGCTGTGCGAGAGGCAGGGAAGAATTTTTCTAAGAATAACTGTGTCATTTGATCCCAAGATGTAATGGCACCTGGTTGCAAGTAATACAACCAATCTTTTGCCACTCCATCCAATGAAAAAGGAAAAGCCCTCAATTTGATTTGCTCTTCTGAAACTCCTTGAGGCTTCATGGTGGAGCACACAATATGAAATTCCTTCAAGTGCCTATTCGGGTCCTCTCCTGTAAGACCATGAAATTTAGGTAGCAAATGTACTAAACCAGATTTCAATTCAAAACTAGCATTTGCATCTAAATTAGGATATTGAATGCATAAATTTTGATAGTGTGCATTAGGAGCAGCCAATTCTTTAATTGTTCTATTACCATTATTATTTTCAGCCATATTTTCCAACTTAACTGTAGAGTCTAAGTCAGATTTAGAATCACTAATAATGCTATCAATCAATTCAGACAAAATTTCAGAGATCACACTATCCCTAATTTTACGGTGCTTTTGATTTTTACGGTTAGTACGACAAGTTCTCTCAATCTCAGAGTTCAAATCAATTAATTTATCTTGTAAAGATCTTGTCATGCACTAATAAACTGGAAAAACAATGAAAAACACCTAAAACAAGTAAAGACAAAAAATAATAATAAATCTTGAAAAAAATAAAAAATACTAGAGAAAAAAAAATAAAAAAAATAAAAATAATGAGAAAAAGAAAAAAAAAACTAATAACCAAACTCAAAAAGTTAACACCTTTGACTCCCCGGCAACGGCGCCAAAATTTTGACACTACTGTCGAACAGCACCAAAATTAATAAAAACTAGATTTTGCAGTAAAGTGCAACCTAGGTCGTCTCCCTAAGAGTCAATAGAGTAACTATTTAAATTATGATTATGAAAAGGTAAATAATGGGGGGGTTTTTTTATGATGAAATTAAAAACTAAATTATAAATAAATAAATAGAGGAAATTCAATTAAGAAAATTACCGACAACAAGCAGCGCAATCAATCACAACCCAATCACCTAAATTTAACCTTCCTCGTCTACAAAATAAATTAATTTTATTCAACTTTATTATTCTGGTTTCATTATAATATTTCTCAAATTATCATTCAAGAATTAAACAAGAAGTTAAGTTATAGATTAATTGAAATCTCCTTTAACCCACAACCTAACAATTGTTTTATAGCCACACCAAAAACAAAGCATGGATAATCACCCAAGCCAAGCCAAATTACTCTTACAATGCTATATCAATCGATTATAGCAATTAAAACCTCAGATAAAATTTATAACTCAAAAATTATGCAATAAAGCTACTCTAATCAGTAATAGTAATTAAAGCATAAAATTTAGAGGTAGAGAGAAGAAGAGAAAATTGGAATAAAGCTAAAATAAAATCTTTCCTGAATATTAAAGACTCTGATTAAAATTTAGGATCATGGTTTGTGATTGATCACACCAAAAAAAAATTAGCTCTCCATAGAATTAAAAATCAAACAACATGAAATGAAAAATTGAGAAGCCATCACCCAAGAAATTGGAAGAAGGAAAGACGAATGGCGATCGCTGCTCTGTTTCCCTTCTTTCCTTTTTTTTTTCCCAGATCGTGCTTCCTCTCCGTCCCCCATCTATTCATATATATATATATATATGAAAAGTGGACCCTAATTAAAAATTACACTAAATAATCCAAAATAAATTCAAATAAAATTTTAAAGATTTGATTCTTGATTTGATCTCCAAGCATGCCCATATTCTTCTTATCCAAAATATTCTTCATCAATATCTTTCAAATTGAATCTAGAAAATCTGCACAAATAAAATAAAATTAAATAGCACCTGTGCAAAAATATTAAAGATATTATTTATATTTTAAAATCAAAGATTTAGTTAGTTAAAATTCCAAAACTGAATATTAGCTAATAAAATCAAATAATATCTAATTAAACTCAATTAGCCTTAAATAAATAATTAAAAGTCTAAATTAAAAGAATAAAAATATATAAAATTATCATTTATCAGGGAGCTACTAAATCCTCCTTATCAATGAATACATCTCTTTCCATCTCACATGATGCTTCACGTCGTCTTTTCTTGGTCTCTTTACTAGATCATCATGATTGTCAACTTTAAGCTTTTGCAATTGCATAGGCTTATCTTGCCTCTCTTCAATATCAATGGTATCATGTTTTTCCTTTTGTACATCAACTTGAGGTTTAAATGAAGGTTTCAGTAGTGTTCTATAATTTCTCAAACTAATGGCCTTGCACTCTTCTATCTTCACTTTGTAGTCTAGCCTTGGTTTAGGAAAAGTGTCACTAGGAAAGCTTCCTTTGGCCAATAAATTAAAAGCTAAAGCCAATTGCTACATTTGAACTTCAAAACTCCTCATTGCTGATCCATGAAGGGAAAATGTAGCATCAATTTTTTATTTGCTAGCTTTTGTTGCTTCTTGGTTGGCTAATATTTGAGCCAACATCTCTCCATGTTGGACTCCCCATGTAATAACCCAAGAATTTTAAGTAAAATTTAAAATATATAATAATAAGTTTTAATTGTATTTGTATTAATTTTGAAAATATTTTATCATGAAGCAATGTTAGTCTAGTAAAAATGTAATGATCTTAAATTTTAACTTAAATAAATTCTCTCTCAATTAATATTTAATTTAATTATTTTAATTTTATGACAAATGAGCATGTAGTGACTCGGTTGAATTTATATTGGTTACTTATACGAAAGTTTAGAGTTTAAATTTTATTTAAGTCAAATATGTTAGTTTTATGTTATATGGGGGAATTATGAATGTGCCCTTGCCTATTGCTATAAAAACATAATAATAATAATAATAATAATAATAATAATAATAATAATAATAGAATTTGATGGGGTATTTTTAGTAATTTTTGCCATAGACTTTATATTTTATTTTCTTCTCCTTTTCTCATTCATTCAGCAGACTAGACAGAGCTCAGATGGGGGAAGGATCATGATTTTTCTTCATTACTCTTCTCCTCCTCCTCGTCGCACTTTCTTCCTCCCCTCGCCGTCAGTTATCTGCCATTCTCCTCTCTGTTCATTTTCATCGGCAATAGTGGGTTGGATCGCTAGATTCTCTAATCTTCCTCTTCTATTCACATCGTTCTTTCTTTGTTTTCCTCTACTTTGCATCGCTAATCTCTCGCTGTCATAGGTCATGACTCAGTTGCTCGTCTACCATATATCCACGTCGCTGGCTATTCTTTGATTCCCTCCTCTATTAGAGTTGTGTAGCTGGTTCATCTATTTTGTGTGGAGGGATTCGGTTCATGATTGTAGAATGTTCGATCCACTGGTACTTTCATTTTCCCTGTCAATCTTCTTTTGTTTCTTTTCGGTTCAAGTGTTGCCATCGAGTTGTATGTGTCTGGGAAGTGTTAAATTTTCTCTCTTCTTTTTTGTTCCTTTGCTGGTGAATAAATTCACCTCTTGCTCTCCCTTGTTTGATCTATTTACTTGTGCATAAGTGATTAATGACTGAAGATGGGAATGTTTATTTTTGGGTTTATTGTTGTGCGTGACTAAGGTAGTCACTAGGATTTAGTTAAGCTGAAACTTATATTTAGGATTATATTGTTGATAGATAAAATTCACCTATAATTGTGTTGGATTACTGTAAGTGGAAGGGATTAAATTTAATTTTCTTTTGTTTAAATGGGTTGCGTAGAAAGAATGAGATTGGAAAGTTTAGATAGATTAAATATTGATAATAAAAATTTTGGAAAGGAAAAATTGAAAGGAAAGAATCTTAGTATTTTAGTTAGATATGGATGCCACCAAGGTGTTTGATAAAATGTTTCAAAGAGAAAATAGATAGGATTATGATTGTTCGAGTCTTATATTGATATACAAACATAAATGTTGTTTGGAGACATATATGTAGAGATAGTGTGGCAGGTCCAATGGAATAAATAATGAAGTCTAGAAGTATGCGTATAGGGAGAGGATGAAATCTTTCATGTTTGGTTTGCTTGATAATATGATCTATGTTCTTGCATTGAAGCTTATGTTATGTTGTTTCTAAGAAAGCTTAAAAAAATAAAAATAAAATAATAATAATAATAATAATAAAATTTGTCTCTGTTGTGATTGTACTATGTGAAAGAAGTGAACTAAGATTCTCCTTTCTTGATAACTTTTGCAAATATGCAAAAAGATTAAGGTTAAGGAATCCCTTTCGACTTTCTAAATGATGGTGATTGTAGAATTTCATAATAAAACAAAATATATGTATTATATAGTATTTGTACGTTTTTACAAAGTTGTGGAGTGAAAATGTTAATAGTGTTGCTTTGGGTATTAGGGAATCTTAGAGTGAAAGTTTCATGAAAGAGGCCCATTTGAAATAAGTAATATTATGTGGAAGCACACCAGGTAAGTGGATAGCGTCCCAACTAATTTATCAATTAATTTTTCTTACTAAAATTTATTTTGTTACATTGATTATTTTAATAATAATTATGTTGATTAGTGAATACTTTGTTAATTAAATTTCTTCATTTTTAAGTTTTAAGATGGTGGTGAAAAATGATTCATCATAGCATATGAATGTTTTACCCCTTATGAGATATCCTTTCAAGATTGATAAAATTCCTTTTCACTAGCATTGACAATTTTTGATTATTTAATAAATGCAAGCACGAGCATTGGATATGAAATTTTATCCTGGCAAATTTTAATGCTTAAAACTATTCATGTGAGTTTGATTTTGAGAATGGAACTGTATCTTGAAAGTGATGATTTTCTCACATGTTTGAAAATAGTTTTTAAAGGGGATTTTATACAGAACATTGGTTGCTCACGGCAGTTCCATTAGTCCTTGATACGCCATAATCAATGACTAGCTAGTTTAATTTTTATGAGTTTTGTTCTCATGTTTGTTATTCGTGGGCCTTATACTCACATTTGTTTTCATGGCTTTGAGCTGCGTTTGGTTAGCATTATCCTCGTGGACTCTGTGTCCATGTTTATTTCGTGGATTTGTCCGCATTTAGTTACTTACCTTCGTGGATTGTGTGTCCACGTTTGTTTTTATGGCATAAGCTGCGTTTGGTTATTTACCCTCGTGGACTGTGTGTCCACATTTGTTAATTGTTTCGATAAGTCCCTATAATTATGAATCCAATTATTTGATGATTTGATATTCCATTGATTTTTATTCAGTAATTTGTTTATAAATATTTATTTCATTTATGTTCTTTCTTAAAACTAAGTAATATTATCATTTGCTATGATAGTTCAATGATTTGAGATTTTCTTTGAATTTTTATAGAGATATTTTATTATGAAGTTTATTGAATTTTTACGAAAATTTTTGTTTGTTTAACTTACATAACTATTTCAAACTTTTCATTTTATTTATGTTTTATTATTTGTTGTTGGGACGTTATTCACTAGAAAATATTTTATTTAGTCTTAGATACCAAAGCTGATTTCATACTCCTTGCTGATCTCTGATAAGCTCATTGTTGAATTGACTAGAAGATTACTTTTGAGAATATCATCTTATTCATGTAAAATTTAAAAACCTATGTAGTGCCTTTTGGAAGTCCGATTTAGAATGCTCCACATTAATTATAGTTAGGGTCCTGCCTCTTTTTGTTTTGTTAATTATTTGCTACTGAAGAGCAAAGCTCTATATTGTTGGATATATGTTGTAAAATTTTTGTTGAAGAGATTTCGGTGGATCCTACCTTTAGGGGAGGTGCTGTAGAAATTTCATAAATAATTTAATATTTTGATTTATGTGAAAAGTAAAAATTGATACATTAATTCAAAAGTTTTCTTAATTGAAGCTTCAGGGATGTGAATTTATACATATATCTCATATCAGTCATGTTAAAATTTTAGGACATGACACCCCATCATTTCTAGGATTTTGTATTCTTGGAGTTTGAAAACTCATAGGGTTATTGGGATTGAGCATAAAGGATGATTGGTTTAACTGTTGACTTGGCTCTATTAGTAATCATGATGATTTTTCCATCTTGACATGTATGTTTGCACGTGATCAGGTCATTTTGAAGATGCTGAAAATTCCCCAAGTAGTTGACAATCTCAATGGGCATGGAGAAAGGACAATGATTGGCTTGTGCACTTTATCACATTGATCACAAATAGTGGGTATTTCATAAGAGAGTAGACACCTTGAGGATTGCATTTTTGTTTATAAGACTCAAATACATCAAATTGTTTATGAGAAGTCCTAAGAGATTGGGATTTTGGGTACGTAATAAAGTGGTGAAATTAGAGAGTTGGGAATGTGTTAACGGTGCTAATACTGAAGGTTAATGTTGTAAATTATAGACTAACTATGTAACGTACCATTTGAGCTCAAGCTATATCTTAGGAAGCAAGTTTTTTTAAAGGATTACCTTTGATCTCTCGAAGGTTTGAGATAATTAATAGGAATTAGATGCTTATCATCAAAATTAAATTAAATTAATCTAAGGTTACCTAATGCAATAAGTCACCTAAAGTTGGAAGTTGATCACCTAATTACTAAACTAGTTAACTAATTGGCAAGTTATTAAAATGCTAGCTAAATTGAGTGAAATGAACTTTCCCTTTTTCAAAAGAGCTGAACCCTAGAGATTGGTTGATTTTGAAATCATTATCTTCATGTGATTAGGCTAAATTAAGCTTTCCTTTCCTCTTGACCAAAGACCTAAGAAGACTATCCTAAACTAATTAACCTAATTAGCTAATTTCCCTAAATCTTAAATTAAAGTCCCTAGTTCAATTAACCAATTGGTTCAAAAATTAGCCAAGTGAATAACTCAAATTCTCCTCTCAAATTCTATGGCCAAAGCAATAAAGTAAGCAACTACAAGATTATGTCAAGCTACTCAACAACACAAGCATTAACGTCACAAGATTATGCAGTATCAACACATGTAATTCACTAAATGAAAAAACACAAGACTATGTTCTAAACATGAAGTGGCTAAAATCACCAAGGCAGCAAAAGGAAGAAATTAACGAACACAATCCTCTTTTCTTTAAATCAAGATCAAATTCAAATTAGAATTTACAAGCCAAGATGATCAAACTCTAGATTAAGACATCAAATCATCTAGTAAAAAGAGAAGAGAATAGAAAATAAAAGAAACTTAGCCAATTGAAGCTTTAGATTCATCCTCCATCTTTATCTCTCTAGGAATCCACCAAGAAACTTAGTTAACCATCTTCACCTTCAAGAACCCTAGGATAAGCACCTCTTGACCAAAATCTATGGAAGCTTGGATGAAGAAATTGAACTTGGATCCTTGTGAGAATGGAAGGGATGGAATAGGCAAGAAAAGATATGAAGAATGGTGTAAGTTTTGTAGAGGTTTTGTGGTTAGAAATAGAAGTTAGGATGCTGAAAAATTAAAGAAATTAGAGAGAAGGTGGAGAAAATGAAGAACAAGATGAACTAGAGAGAGAATGGAGAGATAATGAAATATGTGTGGTAGATTTAAAAAAATGAGGTGGGGGATGAGAAAAATGAGTTGGCTTTAGTTGACCCCTAATTAAAATAAAAGAAAATAAAATAAAATGAAATTTTGGGGCCTTGTCACACTTGCTAGGTGACACCTTCTTATTGGCTTGTAGATGATTCCAATGTGTGTACAATTAATCCCATGTATCATCCACAATTTTAGCTGATCTAAACCACAAAATAGGAGCCCTTACACGTCCAAACCATCAGCCTTTGACCCCATGGACTTTTGACTCCATTTGCTCAATTGATACACAAGTCACATGCCACCTATATCACATAAATCACATAATTCAATTAAATAACATGTGGCATTATAAAATATAATTAAATTCATAATTAAAAGGGAGAATTTATTAAAATAACCAAGCTTTAGGGTGCATAAAATTATATAAAAATTTTCTCACAAAGGCAAAAAAAAACTATGTTAAATTAGGACACTTAAGAAAGTGTTGACCTTTTATTTAATTACTCTTAAACTAAAATAAATTTTAAAAATATAATTTGACCACTCATATTCTGGATATAAAATTCATTTCATCAATTTTTTTATACATTTTTTCAAAAGTTTATTTTTAGTCCAAATACCCCTAGTGCACAAAACCTAGACATTTAGGCAATTTTTCAAATCTAATGTAATAAGTGCACTTTGAGGTGATAAAACATTAATAAAAGG